TTTTAATAATTTGTTTGAATCGATTTTTGTTTTTTACTTTTTTTTTTAAATCTTAAACAAAGTCGGATTCCAAAATAAAAAATATAAGATTGTAGGGTTTTTCAAGCTCTACAATATAGGGTTTGAAAAACCCTGTAATCTTATATTTTTTATTTTGGAATTCGACTTTGTTTAAGATTTAAAAAAAAAAAGAAAACCAAAACTTTTTTAAAAATAAAAAGAAAAGCAGAATTTTTTTTTTTTTTTTATGATGAGGGACATGGTCGCTGAGTTGTCATGTATTTTTTTAGATATGTTTTTACGTATTTTTAGGGGTATAAAAAAAATATTTAAAAAGTAGGCCTTGGATGCAGCCGAATTATCGTGCAGCATAGGCCACGGCTGTCACGTAGCCTGCATGAGATCTATCTAAGGGACGATGAACGTGCGGGCGTTAGCCTGAGCAACCCGATTTAGCGCACGACCTTAGACGGACATAGCCCTCTGCAAGTGGTCGGCAATCAAGATAGTCTCATCATCGAAGTGGTGAAGGATGACATCCCCAAGCTCGATTTCATCGGGGGCGTTCTCCAAGGTAGGGTCAAGCTCGGTCGGGGCGTTATCGCCATGCTCGAGCGCATTGTAGCGCCGGGAGGAGGGAACTTGGGTCTTAGTGGGGCAGCGAAACCAACCAGCAAAAGAGGACCGGCCTCAGGTGGTACCGCGAGACTGGGAGGTAGCAACTGGCCACGAAGAGGATGGGGCAACAGAGAAACGACTGCACATCCTTTGGCTGTGTATCCTATTTTCGATTCAACGCGGGTTCCACGTTGAATTCCCGTTTGAATGTGCATTAGACGCGAATAAACGGGGTTTTGCGCATGTGGTTGCGGAGTAAGGGGGTTTTGAGGGTCTGGGGTGGTAAAGTGGCCTGTTGGGTACCACTTCATGCGAACAGAATTTTTTATTTTATTTTTTTATTCAAAAACAATAAAAAACCAGACCTTTCGGTAAGCAGACGTAGTGCAGGGCGTTTTTGGGGTCTCGAGGTTGGGCGGGTTGCTGGGGGGGCAAGGTGGAACTACTACAAAGAAGGCCGATTCGCTCAGCCGCACTTCATTTGCCGAGCGAGCCCAAAGGCTTCAATACAATAAACGCGGTTTGTCGGGTGTCCAACGACACGCGCGCGTGCGCATGCGCGCGCGCGCGAGAGAGAGAGAGAGAGAGTGGGCGAGAAACGACAAGAGAGATAGATAGATAGATACATAGATAGATAGAGAGAGAGAGAGAGAGAGAGAGAGAGAGAGAGAGAGAGAGAGAGGAACAACGGGTACGGCGGCTTGAGCAGAGCGGGAGCGTTATGCCATGTATCACCCACGATCATGATCGTGGACCATTTTACCACACGCGGTCCCGACCGAGGTGGCTGACTGTCCGCGGCCCCGAGATTTTTTTCGAGGCTTACAAATACTCAATAGTCAGTGAAACTCCGACAAAACAGTTTGTCACAGCCCCTCGTTTGTTGTCCTCTTCTCTCTCTCTGCCTACGGTTTACCGGGCAGTTATGTTTGTGACGATATATATATATATATATATATAAATATATGGGTGTATAAAAAAACTCTACACGCCTCTGATTTGAAAAAAATAAAAAATTGTAAGGATGGAAAAAAAATACATAAAGAAGATCGAAATTAAAAAAAAGAAAAGATAAGACCGCTGATGATTTTTTTTTTTTTTCAATTTATTAGCCCGCAGGTAAAACAAAGGGTCACACACACAAACACACACACACACAATCAATCAATCAACCAATCAATCAATTGATTGATTGGTTGATTGATTGATTGATTTTGTGTGTGTGCACGTGTGTGTGTGTTGAGAAAACAGGATGCTACCACGAATTAAATCGCAGCGAGCAACTCGTGAAACAATGCGCCAGGATGTATGTACAATGCAATAATACACAATCCGACAACCGTTATGGCATTCAGAGAAAAAAATAAACTCTCAGTGATTGCATTTCACAACACTTCTGAACTTCGACATTATCCAAGCCAAACAAGTTGTAGCAGCAAGGGTAAGAAAAAATATTTTTTGACTGCGAAGGTGGATGGAATGGGTATGAGAGGAATACGATCGTGGATAAGAATCGCACCCGAGCCAATCAACAAATTATATATGGAAATTTAGAATATAGAGTAGTTAGGCAACCAAGGAATGAAAAGCGAGATTAGGCAAATCATTTTGAGAGTGATTATGTAGGAAT